TTTTCCTTGCTTTTCCGGGGAAGAGTCACCTTACTCTTTTTCACCGATTTCTTCCACTTTCACCTCTCCTCCTTCCTTATTTATTTTGTCTGAATCTCTGATGTCTTTTATTTCTTCTCCTTGAGAGCGGATAGTGCTCAATGACTCATTTTGAGATTCTTCTTGTGTCATGTCCCTCTCTTCTCCTAAGGGGGTATTCCCTCCTCCTGTAACCTCTTTTGAAGGAGCACAGGGCTGAAACATATCTGCTATAATACCCAAAATTCTTTGACTTACAACTGACCAACAAGCCCCTTCAGGTAAACCTTTCTCCAATACTTTGTTAAGCCTAGGGCTTTTACCTAGTAGCTCATAAAGCTGGATGTAGGAAGTTTCCCATGACTCCTTTGTGCCCTCCCCACAACGAACCTTTAAGGTTTCGATCATCCACTCCGTTAGTTGCTTTAATCTATCGTCTTCTGAGTGATTCTGATTGGTCTGCATAGTTGCCTCTTTCATTTCAAAGTCTTGTGGTGGTGATGGAGAGTCCACTTCCATGGGTGCTGTCCCAAAAGCTCCCTGGAACAGATCAAGGACTGATTCTTTTGATTCTTTATGTTCCTTATTTTGAGTTTCTCCCTCCTTTTTTTTCCCCTCTTTTTTCCCCTCTTCTTTCCCCTCCCTTTTTTGGGTTATTGTTTTAGTGATCCCTATCTTATTGTGTGGGAGCGTCATCACTATTCAGGAGGATCCGTGTATTTGTTTGTAATTCGTTTTCTGTTATTTTTCCTTCTTTTCTCCCTCCTTGGTTCTCATTACTTGATTGTCCCTGTGAGAAGGTAATGTGCGCCCTTTTCTCCCGTCCGTCTTCATTGTCATCTAGTTCAGAGTCTGACTCCTCTTCCTTGTTTAACCGGTAGAAGGACCTCATCCTCTTTGGATCTATATAATCTGCGGGTTGTGGATCTGGTGGTACATTCTCCATTTCCTTCCTTCCTTTGAGCACCGGTCTCCACTGTTGCAGGCTTAATGCTCCTTTCCCTTTGCTTTGAATTCCTGAACCTTTCACTTCTTGTTGAGAAGGTGTGTCCTTGTTTCTTGTATTAGAAGGTTCTTGAGGTTCTGCAATCGACGAGAGTGAAGGGGCTGTATTTTGGCTGCCCAGTAATGATAAAGTCCTTTGAGCCCCCCCCGAGGATGCCTCATGTGGGACCCATGAATCAGAAGGTTTAGTTTCCTAATTCGTCTCCTCTTGTCGCTCCCACACCCATCCTTGGGAAGCCTCCTTTTTTTTTTTTACTTTCCACGTAGACCCATCCTTCGTGACCTGCGTCCACAATACGCCAAAGATTGGGTTTGAATGGATCCCGGATTAATCTTCCTGTGACGCGGTTCTCATTTGTCGGGTTCTGCTGGCATTCTGAGTTTGTACTTTGATGATAATATGCCCTACATCAGAAGCACCAGGGTCTCAACTTATGAGTTGTATGGATCCGATACTCCCTGAGTCTCCCTCCAAATGTATTGAGGACGGGACTGAGGCTGGTAACAGGGATGTGGTACAAGCAAGCGCAGCAGGAAGTGTCGGACTATGTTTGGAGGATAGAGACTACTCGGAGGTAGTGGAGATTCTTACCACCTGCTGGAGGGTGCAAGGAGGCGCACAATCTTTGGGAGAACCTCCGCAACTCAATAAGGAGCAACTCCCCTTCCCCCCCCCTGACGAACTGGCTCCGGTTTGCGTGTTGGAACACAAACAAAGCTACAGACTATACTGTATACAGGTCCCTGCTTTCAACCTGCCAATTGACCCTAGAGATTGGGCGTGGAAACATCCGTTGCGAAATGAACTGGTGAGCCTATCAGAATACACTACAAAAATGGGATACTCAATATTGACACCACGAACAAATATCAATTGGACTGTAGCCAGAAGATGGATGGCGACAGGATGGATCAAGGACTCTCTGACAAGGTTGTCTGCGGCCCTTTCGACCTTTTGGAAACTGTTGATGGACCTGGTCGTAAGCAAGCATACGAGCCTGCTCTGGCTCTTGATGCCCTTAGCACTCCCGGTCAACACTTGGTGTGCTAAAAGAACCGTCATTCGGAATGTCAAATATGCCCAGGAACCCGAATGGAAGACATTCAACACTTTGTGCTACAGTGTGAACTCTCCAAACCCTTTTGGGAATGGTGGGGACAATCGGATGTCCCGATCCCGGGAGCGGACACCCGTTGGGGGGACAACTTTATGCTCCTAGGGACTACAGCTAGGAGAACTGCGATACAGATATAATTTGCCCATGCGGAAGAGACAATCACAGGTGCCATCCTGTGGACCCTATGGAACCTCAGAAATGCGAGAGTGCGCGGAAGGGGGAACACCTTACACCGCCACTGGTGAGGGCCGAAATTAAATATGCTATCAAGCAGGCTATCTCGACAGATTGGGAGTATCGGGTGCAAAAAAGGGTTTCTCGGCAAAGGCTATCAAGTGTTTTTGTTGCCGATGGGATGCTTTCTCGGGCCTGGCTAGAGTGGACACTCAGCTGGACAGCCCACCGATGTTGCGATTCTCTACCTTCTTTGTATAATATGTTGTATGAGACCTTTAAAGTTCTTTTTAGTACACAGTGCGAATGGTTCGCACAGTAGTTCACAGCTTGAGTAACAAAGTTGTGTGTAACAAAGGTGGGAGAGAACAGTTGGGTGAATTTCTGGGTATGTAGTTGGTGGTACTTCGAATGAAACATTGAGAAATAGGATAGCCGACCGAAATTAAATATGCTATCAAGCAGGGTATCTCGGCAATTGGGAGTACCGAGTGCAAGAAAAGGGTTTCTCGGCAAAGGCTATCAAGTGGTTTTGTTGCAGATGGGATGCTTTCTCGGGCCTGGCTAGAATGGACACTCAGCTGGACAGCCCACCGATGTTGCGATCCTCTACATTCTTTGAATAATATGTTGTATGAGACCTTTAGAGTTCTTTTTAGTACATAGTGAGAATGGTTAGCCCAGTAGTTCACAGCTTGTGTAACAAAGTTGTGTGCAACAAAGGTGGGAAAGAACAGTTGGGTGAATTTCTGCGTATGTTGTTGGTGGTACTTTGAATGAAACATTGAGAAATAGGATAGCCGGCATGCTACTGGGGTTAGTGCTCTGAGCAGTTGCTCATCTAGCTAGGCAACTTTTCCTTTTCCTTGTTTTGGTTTTCTTTTTGTTTTGTCTAACCACCCAAGACAGGTATTTTTGCTGTGGTAGGGATGGGTTTGGCCGGGAGTGCCCGGCCCAGCCCAATAGACCATGGCATAACTGTAAGGGACGCCGGACCCGGTTTCCGGCAGAATCTTATAATGAGGCGGTGTTTTTTGAAAGAAAAAAAAAAAAAAAAAAAAACTATTTATGCAGAAAAATAAACTTAACTACATTTTTTTTTTTTTTTTTTTTTTTTTTTTTGAAAGTTGGGAACTGTGCCCAGCGTCCCTCACAAAATAAGGTGGGGCCCTCTGCGGGCAAAGCATCACCGGCCAAGCACATCGAGGGTACCACTAGATTTCACCCTGCAGCCAACTCCACAGCCAACTCCACAGCCCCTACCACTGAAAAATCAACGAAATGTATCATCAAAGTCTAAAGTTACATCACTACAAAAATCTAATCACAATAGTCATGTGAACCCTAATTTAGTGACCTTTTTTCCACCGACCATGTGCGAAAGGAACTACCGAAGAAAAACGAATCAAAACCACAAAAAAGAAACGAGAGGTCAGAGCTGCGGGATCATGTAAGAGTAACAGTTATTCTCGTGCGGTGAAACAGGCCCGTGTGTCAGGTTCACATCGAAATTCTTGACCAAATTTTAAGTTAAAAAAAAAATATTAAAAACTACTTTTTTTTTTTTGGCCCGGCTGGTCAACTGGGGCGCGGTCCCACTAGCAACAAAGATTGGATTGAACGCCTGAACCTTCACCTGTTCGCGAAGAGGTGCAGAAATTTGAGATTAAACTGCTTCTCTGCATCTCTACTTACTACACATCCAGATTCAGGAGCTAAATCCAATCCTCTTTGCTGATGGGACCTCGCACCTGGTCCCGGATCACTCTTTTTACTTTTTTTTAAAGGGCGAGGGCCTTGAGGTATTATCATGGGACTAACCAGCCCAGGTAAATTCAATATTGTGTCTAGTCTGAGATCGGCTAATTGGTTCTCTCACCACTGCAGTCTGGATAGAGGCCTTGCAAAAAAAAAAAAAAAAAAAAACGAAAAAAAAAACAGTTCTTAGGTGTTCCGACTGTGCTAGGCTAATTGGTTCTTTTCATATTTACACGAGCCAAAAAAAAAAACAAAAAAAAAAGAAGTCGCTGCCAGCCACTCAATGGAGATCCCAGATGCTGGGGTTGCCCTCTCAATCCTGACTAGCTAAGCGCCCACGGTGCGGGCGGTGCGGGCAATGCCCGCAAAAGAAAAAAAAAAAAAAAAAAAAAAAAAAAAAGTTGTTAGACCCAAACCAACTGCTAAATTTTAGCACAATGGGTCTCGTTAGACACTCCTAAAAGAATCCTAAAATTTTTAGGACGAGTCCTAAAGGTTTTTTAGGATTTCGTGCGGTGTTGTTACACGCAATCCTAAAAATCATCTTTTAGGATTCCTCCTAAAAGGTCTCCCGCGCCCGGTTTTCATATGCGTATACGCAGCCGCGCCGCCGATGTCCATCCTAACCCTAGTTGGTGTCCGTGGTACAAACCGTGGAGGCCCTTGGGCGGGTGAGGAGGGGGCGGTGAAAAGCGCGGTCACCCCGAACTTCAAAAATTCAAATTCGAATTTTCTCGGACGAAGGGTGGCGGGGCGGAGGACGGCCAGGCGACGCGTGTGACGTACAAGCGACGGCGCTGGCGAACCGTTCGGCGTGGGTATCCGTCTTCCAAGTCCACACAAGTTGTGACCAGCGGGCGCACCTCCCTGCAAGGCGCATCTTCACCTCCGCCGTGCGTGCTGTCCTCTGGAAGCGTAGAGCAGCAGGCGCGTCTTCGGCTCTGACGTACGTCCTCTCCTGTGGCAGCGTACAGCGGGGGGCGCTTCTTCGGCTCTGCGTGGATTTGGATCTGCTGGAGGGTTGAGCAGTGGGCGTGTCTTTGGCGGCTGTGGCAGGCGTCACGCTGCGGAGGCGGAACGATTCTCCGAGATGGACTTTCTCGGCTGCGGGCAAGGTCTACGTGAAGTAGAGATCGACGCGGTGGCAATGGCGGTGACTGCCGTCGTCGTCAACATGATGAGCGGCATGTCGTCGTCCTCACGCGACATGTTGACGCAGCTCCGTAAAAGAAGAGCGCAGTTGCAGAGCATTGCCGAAGCGCCGGATTGCGTGGCCACGTGTGAGGCAGTCATTCATTTGTGTGCTGCGCTCTCGTCTGGCGTTTTTCCGCTGCAGACCCCGCGTTGGCGGATTAGACGACGGACTGGCGGAACATGGGAGGACCTCCTCCTGTGTGATGACGCGATGGACGAGTACTACCACCAGAAGTTGCGCATGTCGATGGCCATGTTCAGGCAGATCATAGCCGCGTGCGCCGCGTACATGGAGAAGAAGGTCACGCACTACAGGATGCCATTGCAAGTGGAGCAGGTGATCGCTTTCGCGTTGTACAGGTGGGCGTCAGGAGAGACGTACGAGAGCGGCACGTGAGCCCTCGACATCGGCAGGGCAACTGGACTGCAGGCCGTCCGCAACGTCACCTCGGCGTTGTTGCAGCCGTACCCTGACGCGATAAAGTGGCCAGTGGGCCGTAGACGTGCGCAGATTCTACGCGCTTCCCGTGACAAGGGTTTCCCGAACTGCTTCGGCGCAATCGACTGTACCCACATCTACACTGACAAGCCCGCCGGTGCACCTTCGGAGAACTACTACGACCGCAAACAAAAGTTTTCTGTGCAGGCACAGGTGGTGGTGGATTTGGATATGCGGATCCTCGACGTCCACATCGGATACCCGGGAAGCTGGCGAGCTGTTTGACAAGGGTCAATTGTGCACGACGTCCGTGTCCTGCACAATTCTCATCTGTGGAGGCATGCAGAAGCTGGCGAGCTGTTTGACGCACCTCCGGAGAATCTCCCGCACGGTGTCTTCACGCGAGGTTACCTGCTAGGCAACAACGGTTATCCAGTCGCCTGTCCATGGATCGTGCAGCCGTACGGAGGAATCGACCAAGATCCTAACGAGGAGCGCTTCGACACGCGGCAGAAGGTGGCGTGGGGGTGTGTGGAGAGGGCATTCGGGTGGCTGAAGTGGATGTGGCGTATGTTCCTGCGCACCCACAAGACGAACCTGGACACCTTGCCACAACAATTCGTGGCCGTGTGCACTCTCCACAACATCCTCCTCGACGCGGGGATCGACTTCGATGAGAACCTTCTGTGGGAGGTGGATGAGAACGACGTTCGGCGTAGAGTAGACTTGGGCATTGTCGGGAACAGCGCGGGCGGGTGGCGACGGAGCACGAACGTGGACGGGGACTTGTTGTGGGATGCACTTCGAGACCTCCTAGCTCTGATGTAGGACCGTGCGCACGGGGGTGGGGGGGGGGTAAAGCGGGAGGACGTGGGTTGGTAAGATTGGTAGGCGGGAGGAATTGTGATGTGGCCCGTGTCCATGGTCGTCGTGCGCGAAGTTGCTGGATCGATTGAATGGCAGCATGGTTGTCGTTGATAAGTTCCTTTGTTGTTTTCATCGTGTGGACGGCTGCGTGGTCCGCACAGTTGTGCGAACGTTTAATATCGGAAGAACCTTTTTTTTTTTTTGTGACTCTCTCAAAATGGTTTCTTGTTTTTTTTTTTTTTTTTTTTTTTTTTTTTTTTTTTTTTTTCTCCTTCTTTAAATTGTTTGTCTTCATCGGTGTCGTGTGGTGCCACGTTTTTTTTTTGGTTTTGGTGTATCTCTTCATTTGTTTTTTTTGTTTTTTGTTTTTTTTTGTGTGTGTCTCTTCAATCCGTTTGTCACGCATGTTTTCGTCTGGTGGTGTGGTGGGACGTCAAACATGGCTGTTGAAATCATTGATGAAAGCTGCTTAACGTAACTTTAAGACGACAAATACAAACAGAGAAAGTTAAACATAGATTGTGTGCATGCATAGGAGGCAATGATCTTTGAATCATTCCACCGAAGAGACAAGAGCAGCGGACACATGACAAAAAAAAAAGGTGCGCTATGAATTTTTTGTGCCGCGAACTGCCATGATAAAAATACAATACACGAATGAATTCAAAGAACTCGTCGTCGACTCCAACGACCGATACACTAAACAGCTGCACTAAACGCAATATACACGATTGGCATCAATCAAACCGCCGTTGTGCCACAACCGACGCGCTAGACATCTACACAACCGGCGACGATTCTGGCGAGTCCTGCCTCCAGCCCCACTCTAAACAGGTGCGCACTTCACAACGGTCCAACCACAGCGAAGCCCATCACGACCAGCCACGTGTACATGCGGCCGCGTTCACACAAGCATCCCCCCCCAACCGTGCCCACCCCGCCGCCCCCTACGCATCATCTTTTTCGTCCTGTTGTTGTCATCATCGGGGCGGCCCAAACCCAACCAATCTAACTTCTTCGCATCCTCTGGCCCCGTTGTGCTCGCATCGTGCCTGAAACCAATGCCGTAGGGCGCCCATTGAGGGATGTAGTCGGGGTACTCTCCCAACGTGGCGTTCGCCTTCCCGAGCCTCTCAGTGACGACATTTGCGGCGCGGACGACGGATTGTCGATGATTGAAGGAGCGATGCATAGCCGCGACGAGTGTGGGCTTCGCCACGAGGCTTGCGAAGTAGAAAGCTTCGTAGTGGCTGCGCGGATCGTCTCCCGCCATGCTCATTATCCACATGCACGCCGCCAACAACAGCCTGAAGCAGTCAGCCACCCGACAAAGACGATCGTAGGAGATGAAATCCCCGTCGATGAGTGCACCCGTTTGCACCGCCGCGTGGAACGTATTCGCGACGCAGATTATGGTGGACTCCTGGTGCGCCACCATGTCGTCGTCGCCCGGTCTATCCTCGATGTTCGCGCCGGCGAACGACAGTGGCAAGTCCATGGACAAAACTATCGTGTATGCGCAAACCGCCAGGCTGACGACGTTGCACCACTCCTTGCCGTACCACATAGCACGCTCAATGTCCGTCGCTACGGACTCCAGCGAGTACTGGAAAGCCACATTGTATCCCCTTGGGCAGTTCCCCGACTTGAATACCCAGCCGTGCAAGATGCGCAGAGCAATGTTCTCCACTGCCGCCGCCCGGGAGATCGCTTGCTGCAGCTGTGATTGGTCGGCTATCCTGACTACCCTCGTGCTGGATTTGGGCAGAAAGACGCTCCGAGGGACGGCAAGCGGTGGAAGTCCGCTGGCGATGGCGACAAAGTACTCTCTCCTTCCGTGGACGATGTTGTAAAGTCTTCGTCCCTCCCCCGTCGTCCAGAAAGCTTTGTCATCAACCCAAAGGACGACACGATCGATGAGGTCTTTCGTCATCATTCCCCTATGTACCCGGCTTGAACCGGCCTCGCCGCCCTCCCGATCGGTTTTCTTCTCGCCACGCGCATCCTCTCTCGTCATCGCCACAACTGCTGCCTCCTCTCTCACTGTCGCAACGGGGGCCATAGTGCCTGAAGCACCCGCACCAGCAGCACCTCCGGCTCGCCCCCAACTTCGTGCGCGTCTGCCACGACTTCCCCCCCTCCGCCGCGTTGGACGGACCCTCCGTCATCACCCGAGTTGCGCTGACGTGGTTGAAATGGCGTGGCGGGCAGTCTACCCGTGACTGGCCTTCCGTCTACCGCAACGCGTGCCACCACCGCCCCGGCAGTGGGGTCGATGTTGTACGAGTGCGCAGGTGACGTTTTTCCAAGGGCTCGTCATCATCGCCGCCAAGATCGATGATGGCAGCCTTCTCTGTCGCCTTTCGTGGGCACGCAGTTGCTGCGCCTCGGGTGGAGGGGTTAGCATCCTCTTCGGAGCGCTGTGATCAGAGGAGTGCTGCCGACCGCTCTCTCGTACTGCAGACGTGGTCGCCTCTGCCTGCTCTTCCTTCGTCGTGAAGACTTCGTTGTAGTCCCCCCCCGCTGCTGCCGCCCAACCTTGCGCTCCACGAGGAGGCACCCTTGCAGACGCATCATCCGAACGCACCCTCTTCTCCTTTGGGACATGCCGGCGACCTCTTCCCTGCCCTTGGCTGTCGTCAGGGACTCTGTCGCGCTTCTTCCCACGGGCGCTCCCTCGCTTAGACATGCTTCGTCGTGACCTCTGCAGGCGAGCTTGGCGGTCCGATCGGATGAGCGGGAAGTGCTTCGTCGACCGCCGTTTGAAGTCCCACCGATCTCGCGAGAGAAATGTCTCCCGTGCTGCTGAGGCGTGACGCAGACGAATGCCCGTACAATGCAGAAGAACTGTCCTCCGCGGGAAGAAGACGACGACGTACACGTGGTGGACAGAAGGACGATGACCCCGGCGAGAGTGCTCCGCGGAGAAAAGATTAGCGGCGAGAATAATAGAAGAGCGACGGTGACAGTGCTCTGCGGCCACCACCGATTGACGACCGACGTCCACGTGCACGCTAGAAGGACGACGACTCCAGCGAAGATCGTCCACGTGACGAGATGGCTAGAATGGCGCCGGTGGCGGTCCTCCACGGCACTGAAGATGTCCGCGGGAAGCAGGCGGCAATTATCAGTGGCAAGCAGGCAACATTTCTCCGCAGCGAGCAGGCTTTTACCACTCCCGCGTCGTTGCAGTCGGTGTGCAGCAGGCGCGGCGGGCTTCTGTACTGGAGACATCCTCATGAGGACGACATTCATGCGGGTTGGGAAGCACACGACTGAAGTACTCTCTCGCAGATGGACTGCCCTTGACGTCACTTCTCTGTGGCGGGAAACGACATCGTTGACGGTGGCACGTGCAACCGCCCTGCCTACCCTGGCGTGTATTTTAGATCCTCCCCAAGGCGGGAAAAGACCCTTCGACGTCCCTGGTGACGCGCGTCAATGCACTCGCCAGGGACCAAAACTAAAGCAAAGCACCTTTTCCCCTGGCCACCCCATCGCGTCTCCCCCTCCCAGCCACCGACCAAACCTCCCCCCCCCCCCC